GAAGATGTATAAAACTTTGAGCTCTGTGGGGAAGAGACATGTTGGCTATACCTCTGTGCTTCACATTTCATGCAGAGTAGCTCAAGACTATTATTTTTTTGATTAATCTTCTGAGGTGCTATAACCTTGCCGATGTACACTGTTTTAAAGGCACAAGCCTTGAAATCATGCTTTTAGACTATACTCTGTCAGCATGTGCATGTAAGCTTGCAGTCCCTATCTTGCATTCATTTTGACTGCCATCGTCTTAAAAATTATTTTGTCACCCTTTCCAAAACAGCAATTTCCAAACAGTTTTTGAAGGAAATCTTCAAGACTTAAAACATAAAATAGCCATCTAATATTTTTCAAATCAGTGTAAAGCAGTACACAGACAAAAATACCAGGGCCTCATTTTCCAATCTGTAATATGGGCATAATGGTATTCCTTTAGATGTGTACTGAAAAGAGAAATTAATTATAATAGTGACATAGTTAAGATGTTATAAGTATTCCAGAACAGACTGTGAGGAAGATTGATTAGAGACACAGTTAAATTAACTATACTCCTGTACTCAATTGAGTAGCAAGAGTTCCCTCCACTGGAACAATGACCATTCTGTCAATATTTCATCAATATCCTTTCAGCTTAAAGTGGGTTTGACAGCCATTGAGGTTGATCTACCCAATCAGTGCTGCTCTCCCCGCTCTCTCCAGAGTAATACTTCATGTATTTTCTTTTAAGTATTTCTCCTGAAATAAATTCAATCGCAGTCAAACCTAGAAGAGTACGAGACGTAGCAGACAGCAGAAGAAACTGCATGAAAATAAAGAGTTTAGGCCTAAGGCATGACAGATGACATATAGGGGACATATACTAAAGGCTGTATGGTGGAAATGAACTGTACAGGCACAAAGTGACATCTCCAAACAGCTCAACACATTGAAGTAAGTCTCCTTTCACATTTCTAAACATAAACACATGCACTAGCTACACTACGAGTGTCTGGGATGTAGAGGAGGGATGGGAACATTAACTATGATTGCCCCTAAGAACAGAGTTTGGAAATGTAATAAAACAGCCCTTTTTTCTATACATCTCCTAATTAAGAAAATTAGAGGTTTGGAGGAATCTTATTTTTTTTGCCTTTGTTTCTTTGTTTTTTAAGAGGTCAGAAGCTCTTGTTCTATTTCAACCATGCTGCTGTACTGATCCTGTGAGCTTTGCCCCGAGCTTTTTTCTGATGGCCAATACTAATTTAATTTGTAATGAAAACACTGCAACTCAGACTATATTACCTACTAGCATATTGATTATTTTTCACCAAACAATTATGAGGAAAGCAAAATCCCATTTCTTTCTCTACTTTTCCAGCTAGTTTTTGATTATTTTTTTTTTCCACTTTGTTATTTTGTGTATATAAATGAGTTGAAGTGTAGGCCAAGGTATCCATAAAGGTTGTACAGCTTTGTCAAAACTTTTTTTATAGTAATATCAGTACAACCTTCTCATGTAGGTAAGATTCTACTGATGCATATATACTTAATACATCATACAGACCAGATCCCATTCAGGGAAAATGTATGAACCATACCAATTTGAATCTCTTTGTAACAGTAAGAGTATTCATATTATGAATGTCAACAGTAGTTTGGTTTAAAAAAAAACATGCCCGCGGTCAAATTGATCTGTGTTATAACTGCGCAGCTCAGATCCCAGCCCCTTCTACCCCTGAAATTAAATACATTTTTAAAAGTTAAACTCATCTGACATTAATGCAACTAATTAAAATATTTAATCTAATTCAGAATAATCTGTTTCTGCCACAGATCATATTTACAGTTCCTAAATGTCATCTCCAGTTCCTAAATACCATCTCTTTCCAGCTCAGCCAAAGAACCCATTTTCCATGTTTTTGATAATGACTCTTCCTCTAATGATCACTTTATGGCATGGGTAGGAGAGGCCAGAGAGATTAAAATGCTGATCAGGTCACCCAGAGATGGCAAGTAACACCAACAAACTAATACTGTGGCATATCCAATTCCTTGGAAAAGGAATTGCATTCCAAGCAATGAATGATGTTGTCTGATATAAAATATCAAAATTCAGATGACCATTTTGAAAGTCTATTTGAAAAACTTTTCATCAGCAGCTACTGATAGTACCGTCTATTTTCTAAAGAAAATCCAAGCCCGGCTATCGGAGCCAGGGGCTGGGGGGGGGGGGGGGCAGGGATGGAGTGGGGTGGAAGCTGCAATAAGAATGTTTGTTCTGTTTGGAGTAAAAGAGTTAAGGGTATGACAAACTCATTTCTGTAGTACTGCAGGTTGTCCAGATGCTCCTTACTCTGCTTGGGATTCGTAGTTTGATCTTGACAAATGAGGACCTATTGCTCTACTGGTTGGTTTGGTTTGATGGCAAGTCTTTGGCTCTATTGGTTTGGGTTGATGGCAAGTTGAATGTCAGTCAAGAGTGTGCCCTGGTAGCAAAAAGGGCCAACCGTGTCCTGGGGTGCATCAAGCACAGTATAGCTTGCCGATCAAGGGAGGTGATTGTCCCACTCTACCCGGCACTGGTGCCACCACTCCCCTAGTGCTCTGTGCGGTTTTGGGATCCTCAATGTAAGGACACCAGACTATCAGAGTGTGTCCAGAGGAGGGCGACCAAGATGGTGAAAGGCCTCGAGGGCAAGACTTGTGAGGAGCAGCTGAGGTCACTTGGTTTGTTCAACTTGGAGAAGAGAAGGCTGAGGGGTGACCTCATCACAGTCTACAACTTCCTCAAGGGGGACAGCAGAGGGGGAGGTGCTGATCTCCTCTCTCTGGTGACCAGCAATAGGACATGAGGAAATGTAATGAAGCTGCTTCAGGGGAAATTCACATTGGAGATTAGGAAAGGGCTCTTCACTGAGAGGGTGGTCGGTCACTGGAACAGGCTCCCCAGGGAAGTGGTCACCCCACCAAGCCCATCAGAGTTCAAGGAGAGAGCATCTAGGCAACGCTTTTAGTCATATGGTTTAGTTTTAGGTAGTCCTGCAAGGAGGGTCCCTTCCAACTCAAGATATTCTGTGATTCTATGATCCTGTGATACTCAGTAGCTGACTGTGCATGTCAGTGTGGGAAAGCTGAAAACAGATGCTGAAGGAAAAGGAACTAGCCAGTGTGAAAAATCTATGCGTGCTTGCTGAGATGGCCCCACCAAATAGCCAGAGAGGAATAAAACCAAGCTAGAACACACATGACAGACTGGAGGCACAAAGGAATTCAGTTCATATTTGTGGGTTCTCTGTAGCTGTTGACTAACCGGAAAAAGCTCTCCTGCTGCACAAAGGATACAATCGACTCAAGGCTACACAACTGAAGCCTGGTCTTCACAGTTCAACTCACTCAGCAAGAGACTGAAAAAGAATATTGGTGTTGCTGAATATCTATATGCAGGTACAGAAACAGAGCGGTCAACCTAGATTCGTTTGAATTACCTTGCCCAAGTGTGAGTTAGTAGCACATAAAATGTTATGTGGAAATAGGGCAACTCTAATGACTGATAACACGTGAGGAAACAGACTACACCATACCCAGTGGTCTGCATGATTTGGGAAGAGCTGCGCAATGTTGAGGATCTATCAGAGGTCACAGGTGGGTCACAGAAAGTGCCTGATTTTGGAGAACATTGTCATTCTAGAGGAAGGACCTCAGGGGAAAAAAAAAAAAAAAACCAAAACCTCACCATAAAAAGCTTATCTGGTTATGAGGTTCTAATTCCTAGATTATTTCACGCTCCATGATGGATTGCCCCTTCAAATACCTAATTGTAGCATTACAGATAATCAGTAAGAAGAGTATGGGGTGACAGTAACGGAGTAACACATAAAAAGTGTTGGGATTGATTTATTAAGCTTTTTTTTTTTTTTTTTAAAGGTTTAGATCATTCTTTTGTTTGAAGAACTGAGACTATTTCTGGTGATGAAAATTAGTGACAAGAAAAACGTTAAACTAGTTCTAGTTATCTGTTTTTTTTGACAACATAGTCTTACTGTCTCATTTCTTCAAGAAAATTAACTCTTTGACAAGATCATTCCTGTACAGCAATGGCTTCCTAAATGTAAAGCCCGATTTGATATTCCCTTGTGGAAATTTCTTAGCCTACAAATGGTAGTGAGAATCTAGAAAATGGGACCACACTTTCTCAGCTATCCACTAGCTTTGGCTGCCCTCACCTCTGATGCTCAGAGGAATACCACATCTACCTGTAGATCTGTTAAAACTGTGAATCCTTCCTACCTCTGGAAGTCAACCCCACATCTTTGCTGCAGATCATTGCTAAAAAATCTGGATTCTGTGACCTCCGTGTCCTCAGTGCCTGGAGAGGTAGAAATTTCCTGAAAAATTACAGTGAGCAAGGCTCACCCTGAGCGTTTTCCTTCACATGATTTATAACACTACTTCCTCTGATGCCATTTTTTTCCTTCGCTTAGAATTTGAATCACTCAGCGAGCACAGGCGGCTGATATGAAAAGGTCAGCGCACGCGGGAGCAAGCACATCCCCCGGCGGCGCAGGCGTTCGGTTTGGATTTGGCAGCGAAACGCACCCCCTCAGCCAACACCAGAAACGCCTGCGCGGCCGTACGCGGGGGCTTCACCGGGGGCTGGGGGCTGTTTCAGTAGCTGCAGGTCAATTTTAGGGGCGACCCCACCGTCCCGGCACGACCCGTTCGCACCGGCCTCCGAAGCGAGGGAGTCCGTCCACCTTCCTTAAGGGGCCGAGGCAACGCGGGACCGGCCCCGCTACCGTCGGACTCCGCGCCCTGAGGCGCGGGGGCGCACCCCCCCCCCCCCCCCAAAACTTTCGGGGAGCCGCGGCCGGCGCAAGCCCGGCGGCAGGGCGGGGCGGGGCGATGGGCGGGCGGGGGGGGATGGGCGTGGCGATGGGCGGGGCTGGCTGCCGTGCCCCGCCCCCGGCACTGCGGCGCGGGGGCCGCGGCTCCGGCGCTGTAGGGGGCGCTGCGCGGCCCGGCGCGGGTTGGGCGCGCCGCTCCCGGCGGCAGCGGCGGCAGTTCCGTTCCCGTTCCCGTTCCCGTTCCTGTTCCCGTTCCCGTTCCCCTCAGGCCGGGCCGGGCGCAGGGGCCGGGCTGCGGCCGCGTCTCGTCCTCGCTGCCCCCTCCTCCCCCTGCCTCGCAGTCGTCGGCGCCGGTGGCGGGGAGGGCGGGAGCGGGGAGGGAGCGCGGCGCCAGCGCGGCGCCGCATGCGTCGCTGATGGAGCCGGGCTCGGGGCTGCTGCCGCAGCGCAGGGCGGGGGGCGGCGGGCTGGACCTCGGGGCGGGCTCGTCGGGAGGGTCACCAGCGCTCTCCGGGGGGCAGTCCCGCCGCAGGAAGCAGCCGCCGCGCCCGGCCGACTTCAAGCTGCAGGTGATCATCATCGGGTCGCGGGGGGTGGGCAAGACCAGCCTCATGGAGCGCTTCACCGACGACACCTTCTGCGAGGCCTGCAAGTCCACCGTGGGTAAGGGAGCCCGCCGGGCCGCGCCACGGTCCCGGTCCCGGTCCTGGACCTGTCCCGGGGGAGCGGGGTGTCCGAGCCCTGGGCCCGGCCGTGGAAACGCGGGGCTCAGTGTGGCGGCCGCCTGCCCTGGCCCCTCTCCGGCCTTCCCCCTCCCGCATGCCGGCCCGAGGCTTTCCCCTCAGGGGCCTCCCAGCCCTCGTCCCCATCGGGGTGCGTGGTGGTCCCCGTCCCCTTCCCGCCCGGCCTCCCGCCCGCCAGAACGGCCTTGCCTCCCCCCGGGTGGGTTCCTCGACTGTGGGCTGCTTCGCGGTGGGAAGCCCAGGGGTTCATGGCGAGGGAGCCCTTGGGTGTCAAACTTCCCAGCTCCTGATGGAAGGAAAGGTCGCGGAGGTCCTAGTTATCTTTTTCAAGTTTTGAGAAGGTGTTGGGTATCCTGTTTCAGCCTTCCTGGCGAGCAACAGAAAACACCGTGTAAAAAAAAAATTAGGGGTGGTTGGTAAAACAGGTTATTGTGCTCAAGTCTGGGGTGTTGCATGCAGGGAAACAGAAGTATTTTGGGAGTTGAAAAGTTGCCCAGTGTGTTTTTAGTGTAGTCGATGGGACTTCAAATGCTCCTCCAGACCACAGTCTGATTAACTCCATGTTGCTGCTATGCCTTCATCCAGAACCCCCTCATGATGTTAGATCTGTGGAAGTTAATGTTTTGTTTCTTGAAGAGTAGTACATCTTGAGCATGCTGTGTGTTTTGCTCCTCACACAACTAACTGGAGAGCAACCTCCTAGTTCTGTTAGTATGCTGTCTTATTCATGGTTTAGTCATCTGTATGAGTCTTGGAGGTAATTTAAGGCCTGCTGACTTTTAATACACAAATGTGTAAAGGGAGGAAAACAAGCTAGTTAGTCTGCATTGTTATTAGAGTCCTATCCTTGGAGTCGGACTCTTGAGTATTGCAGCAAAGCGGTTGTTAAGTCTGTGTCATTGGAAAATATGTAATTGTAGCTTGGAATGTGAGGAAACTTATGGCATCTGATGGAAAGTGATTGTATTGCCTTTTAGAAGCTGAATTATTACTATCCAAAGCTTCTTCCCGTGACAATACACAGTTACTCTTACTTTAGTTTTAGTGCGTATTTTATCACTTGTTTCATTCTTTCCTAGAATGTAAACATCTAAATCTGGTAGTGCAGATTAGCACTGTTAGTGTTGGTATGTTTTTTGTTTTGAAGTTGGTAACTTAACCTTGTAGAAGTTAGAAAGGCAGTGGTAGAGAATCAGAGGCATTAATCCTCAAGTGACATGTTGTAATGAAGAAATGCTAATGGCTTCTGTAGATGGACAGATTTAATTAAATAAGAGTTACAGCTGAGGAAGTAGAACTAATAGTGGAACTCATTCTTTATAAATTCTATGTATTGTTTTGGACTCGCATGCATCTTCTTTGGGTTGACCTACATTAAGGGTTCCTTCGAGGCTGGGCTGCTCTCTGTAACTGGGGCTAGTTTCCTCATGTGGATCTTTAGAAGTGAAAGGAGGTGCTCTGGACCCTGATCCAGACTTCCAGGCTCATGCCTTGTAAGCAAACCTGATTTGTTAGATAACTGAGACAGTGATTGAAGCAGAGAAGCTTCCTTAGTTTAGAAAAGAAACAGGAAATAAATGGTGGTATACTGCTAGACAGAAGATTACGTAATGTTTGATGTACAAAGTGTGCCAACATAAAGCAGCATAGGGAAGTCAACTTGTGCCAAAATACATGTAGAAAGACTTGACAGGAATGGCATTCTTTCAAGGTCCTCTGACTAAACTTGAGAGCTGTTGAGATTCCCCCAGATCCTTTGACTGCTAAATGAAAGAGGTTTTCACAGTCAGCTTGCACCATGCTTTTTTGCACTATAGATTAAGAAGAAGTAACCTCTGCTATTTCCATTTCATATAGACTGAAAATAACTCACACTCCAAAACAACCTGAGGTCAGACTTTGATACACAGTTGAAAACATAAAGCTCTTTCCTTGTTGCCACTTACTGCAGTGGTTTTCAAGAATTACAAGTGCAGGATATGTTCTGAAACATTGTTGAAAACCCTGTGACTGATCTAGTTTCAGAGGAAGTTACGTAAACTGAATGTACCTTGAGATGAAGTTTGAAAAGGCTATGCAGTGAAACAAATAACTAAAATTTGTTGTACCTACCTTATGTTAGTAAAGCTATATTTTAAATGGAATGCTAGAATACATACTTACTCCCTTACCTTGATATTAATGGTCTCAACCTTACTTTTATGATTTTATACTAAACCTGTGGAAGTATAGGCCAACCAGAACAACATTTAGCACGTTAACCTTTCATATGAAGATGTACAGGCTACTCGGAGGTCTTCTCTGACAGTGGAAGAATTGCAGATATCCAGAAACTTTGGCTGTCTCCTATACCTATGTGCTGTTTAGGATAATAACACTCTGTCATTGAAAAGTGGAGTGGTCCCACTGAAAAGGGAGGTGTGGACTCAATTAAGAAAGATACAGTATTTTAATGCTAATTTAAGAAGACTACATTGCCAGATTGGTAAAGTAAATTCTATAATAAAAACACATCAACGTGTCTTCAGTCTCATCTCAGATACTGAATTTCTTTGAAAATGTTCAAAAATAACTTGGCAGATTTCAGCACATTATTCGTAATGGCACACAATGTGCTGTTGATCTAAAATTCTTTTGATGTATTTATTTTGGGTATGAAATTAGTTGCATAGAATATTGTGTCTACTTAATCTGCTATTTACACAGTACTGAGAATACTCAATATGCTCAAATATTTACTGACTTTTGCCTGTGATTGTCAGATGAGAAATAGATGTTGCTGTTTCCAATTTTATGTGCTCAGTCTGAATGTTTGTTCTTACTATTAGATTATAACTTACTTTTATTACTTATTTGGGCAAAGAAATTGTTTTTAGAAATGATCCTTTGTATCTACAATGATGTAAAACTGGTCTCTTCATGCCACTGTTAAATCCAGAGTGGTTAAGATAACTTTTTTTCTATAATGGAATCAGGCTCGTGCAAGGGTAGTATTAGCATCATGTTAGCTTTGTCAACAAACATACAGTCTTTCTTTGAAAATAAATTTTGATCTCTTTTTAAGATTTGTTGTCTGACCCCCATACACCTGCAATATTCACCCAGGAGCAGAATCCAAAACTATCACTTGGAGGTTTTTCAGACTCTTGACAATTAAAACCAAGTATGCCAAATTCATCATGAAAAAGGATGATCTTTCCAAGGGTATATGGGTAAATACTCATTGCCACATTTGTCAGAAGATTCAGAGATGGATAGTGAAGGAAGAGTGCTTGCCTTTGCTGCTTACCCCACCCCAAGTAGTTCATATTCCCAAACAAATACATCTTAATTAAGAGCTCCATAGTGGTGATGTTATAATTAATATATCCATTTTTTAAAAGTGTTATCTCACCTCTTTTTCATCAGAGTCCCTTTATTTAATAGTCAGAGGCCTCTGTTTTCTTCCCAGCATCTGTCCAACTACTGCTCAGTCTCACAGTTGTCTGTCCTACCTGCATCCACCAAATCGTAGCTCATTCCCAGTCTCTTTGCTGTTTTTCTTCCCTGACAGATGTACAAAATTCCTGTACTCAGCAGTATTTCCTGTCCATCTAATGTTGCCGCAGGCATTACGCTTCTCTCTGGGTTTTAATCTCTGAACCTGAGGTTCCTGCTCACCCAAACCTGAGGTCCTGCATTGTCTCACCTCTCGGGCAGCTGATTCTCCTGCTCCAAATCAAGTTGAGCTCCTCAGCTTTTTTTTTTTTTTCCACATGCTGGCTAAGTATGTAAAGTTTCTAAGGCCTAGTCTCATCCTTCAGCTCATTTTCCACCAGGTCTGAAAACATCCCAGCAACAAGGCCTTGCCTTTGATAATATCAGAGCAGTTTGGGTGCCTTTTCTCAGCTACTCGCAGGAAGCTACAGTACCACTTGTAAACACTAAAGCTTCCTTCCATCCTGGTTTGCAAGCGAAATCATAGGTAGAGCTACTCAGCTAAGTTTGTAATGAGAAGGTTTGTTGTGGATCAGGGTGGGAACGTTGTGACCTGTGATCTCTTCTGGACTAATTGTAGTCTGTAGGATCCAGATCAGTGGCATGCAAATGCACTGTGGTGTGAGACTCCTTTTACTTCACAGCAATGCTCTTTGACCTTGTCTCACCTTACTTTGATGTTAGTATGAAATGGCATGTAAAGCTGGGAGCTCATTAGATTTACAGAGCTCAGTAGCTGCTGCCTCTAGGCAATCTTTTCATTATCAATTCTTTTAAAAATGCTTTCTTAAAATTATTTTTTTAAATTTTAAGAAGTCCTTGCAAAATGCTTAATGTTCATCAAATAAACAGTAGTAATGGTGAAAAAGTTAGGTGTATCTTTTACCAGAACAATCTCAAGTAAGGCAGCTTCTGGTTTTAATATATATACACACATATATATGATATATATACATATATACAATTATATATATACATACATATGTTTGGGGTTTCTGTTACAATTCAAACCCTTTCCTCATTCTCTTTATCCTTAAAAAGTGTGGACTAACAACATAAATATTAAGTTTCATTCCTGTAAGCTTGTCATATAACATAATTATATTCACTTAAAAGTATCAGCCTATTAATTTTAAAAGTATCAGTTGGTCATTTTTCAGAACTACCCTTTAAGTTGCTCCTACGTTCTTTAGTTACCTAGTCAGTATTTCTCAGAAGCACTGTAAACGTGGTATGTGTGGCTTACCAACCATTTGAAAAATAATTTTTCAGTAAATCATAATAGAAATTATGTTTTAAAATCAAGTTTAGTAATTTGATGTAATCTGAAATTAGCAACAATCTACATAAAATTTTCAGAAAAACATCCTGCATCAACGAGAAGAACATTTATCTTTTCACTACATTTGGATGTGCCTGTGGGCTCTTTCTGACAAGTGTAAT